GGCGGCAGACCTCACCCACCTGTCCCAGGAGGCCCTCCAGCTTCTGCCGCAGCTGCCAGTGATGACTTGGGGAGCTACCGGCCTCATATAGAATGGGGAGAATCTGAGGGCCAAGGACAAAAAGGAGTTGCAAGTGGACACCTGCCCAGGTTGGAAAGGGTCATTGTGGTGGGAGGGGGAGTGCTCACGCTGAGAGAGAAGTTGGCATTTTGGATGGCATCCTCGGCCTGGTGCACGGCAGCTTCGCCCTGGGGCCCAGCCCCACAACCGAGCAGCTCCACATGTTCCTGCACCGACTGACACAGCTCGTTCACCTCCTGGAGGACACGAGGGGTCAGTCCCACCTAGTGCCTTCCCAGTCTCCCAGACCCAAACTGTTTCCCTACTAGGGTCTGCGACAGGGGAGGTGAGGTCCTGAAGCTGGCACTGTTGGGCTGCCACTTAGGAATACTGTCTGTTTGAGGGAGGGCAATGTATCTACTTTTGATTCACTTTAGAAACTTAATATACACATCCGAAGTGCCTAGAATAGCAAGGAAAGGAGCTGTTAACCCTGTCTGTTTTGGAAGTTCAGTCTGAGGGCCAATGGATGACATAGCAGTTAAGTTGCTGGACTCTAAGGCGGTCAACCACAGTTCAAGTCCTGAACCCAGGGGCTTGAAACTCACACCAAGCATGTGTGCATGCATGCCCGGGATCCCAGGAGGAAAATGGAGGAGAAAGGACTGTAGCGGGGCTATCCCGCCTGGGATAGCCCTTTCACTGTGTCTGTCTCTCTCGGGCAAGCACATGCACCATAAGGCAAAAAACTCTAAAAAATAAAGAAGTTCAGTCTGCTCAGCATCCACATAGAAGATAAACTATGTGTATGTGTGAAACGGGAGTGAGGACCCATGGTAGGGCACCAGGGGGAAGCAAGACCATGGGGTAGGGGTGAGGAGCAGCGTGTTTAAGAGTTGGTCCAGAGGCAAGACCGAGGAGGACCTCAAAGACTCCAGTGTGGCCAAGAAAGACCTGGAATGATGCCTAAACCTCTGTCCACACACTTGGCAGTGTGAGCACCACTGAGACTGGCCTCCAAGGTAGAGCACAGGGTGTGTGGGAGATGATGAGATCACCTGATCTCACCAAATAGAGCCCCTGCAAGGTGTCTGGATCAAGGTGTCCGGGCTTTGGGCTTAGGAGAGAAATGGGATTTGGGAACAGGGAATTGGAGACATCTCAGAAAGGCAGGGTAGCGGAGGGAGATGAGATGAAGCCAGAGGAGGGGCTGCTGGGTTTGGCCACACAGAGGTGAGTGGGGAAGGGAGAGGAGTCCTGTGAATGGGAAGTCAGAGACAGAGCTATGATCAGAGGAACACTGAAGAAGGATTTTAAAACACCTTCTGTTTTAACGGGAGAGCCTTTGTACATGCCAAAAGCAGCCCGGGGTGTAATTTGGGGAGCTATTTCAAGAGTGGTTGGCTGTCTCCAGACCAAGGAGGAGGCCTTGTCTGGGATAGCAGGTCTCAGGTACCCTAGGCCTTGGAAAGTCTGACCCTGACACGTAGAGGTTCCCAAATGCCACAGGTCCCCCCACCCACTGCCTCCCCAGGGCACTGAAGTTAGGGGAGAGAAACTGACCTGCTCAGAGGGTTCTGAGATCAGACTTGTTGTCTGAAGGCAACAAGCACGGTCTGAAGTGGCAGGGTCTGTGCGGTTGTTCCTCAAGAGGCAGGCTTGGATCTGGGCACAAGGGATATCACAAAGTGGCAGAGGACAAAGCCACAGTGCTCAGGAGGGCAGGAGAGGAGATGGGACCCCACCTGATGGACTGCACGAGCCGTCAGTTCCGGGCGGCTGCGTTGCGCCTGGGCCACGTCGTTCAATGGCAGAGGCATGGCCTTCAGGCTGTGGTTCTGCTCCAGAGCCTGCGCTACATCCAGCAGGCCCAGAGCAGATGTGTGGTTCCGATCCCAGACCAGAGACCTGGGCCAGGCCGGGATTCAGCCGGGGGTGGAGCTCCACGATGCTCCACCCAACCCGCTAGCTTTGTCCATTGCCTCGCCCACCTGCCTGCTCCATTTGCTCGGCTTATTCAGCCCCACCCCTTAGCAAGTTGCGCCTCTCTATGCCACGCCCACCTTCCCCCGTTCGTCCCACCCCGACCCCGCCCAACGGAGCACA